CCTCCGCCTCCTCCTTCCCTTCCTCCATCTCCTCCGTGTTCTCCGCCTCCCCATCCTCCGCTATGCCCTCCTCCTCCTCCTCCTTCTCCTCCTCCTCCTCATCCTCCTCCTCCTCCTCCCATCCTCCTCCTGCTCATCCTTCTCATTCGTTCGTTCGACCACCGTTCACTGCTCAGAGGCGGTCGGCGCAGTTCCGGCACCGCTTGCGCTACCGCGCGAGCCCGTCAGAAGCCTCTGTACGAAAACCGCACACTCCTCCAGTGCAAGGGCCTCGGCTTGAGAGGAAATCGGCGTGGCGAAGAACGATTCCGACACTGCGATAGGCAGAAAATCCCAAGCTTCATCGATGAAGCGCCCTACTTCGACCACCCAGCCTGTGACACAGCAGCTCAGAGCTCGGGCGTTTCCATCAGAATGGACTAAGGAATTACAGCTATCAAGGGCAACGCCTGGAAAAGGGAAACCAAAGTGTTTGCTCTCAGACCGCTGGGAGTCCAGTGTAAAGCTAACCAAAAAGTCAGCGAGTACGTTATATCAACGCTTACGCCACATCACGGGGTCACGCCACACCTGTGGAGGAAGCCATCCGTCACCAATAAGCTTGGCCAAATTGTCGCAGATGCTCGTGAAGATCTGCTCCGAAGCTGATTCATTCAGAGGTAGCCAGCCCATTGCGATGCGCTGCACCAGCTGGCAATCCACCACGAAAGCAATTCGACATTTGAGGCCACCCTATTCGACATGACGACCCGCGTCTGCAAGACTGTGTTGGGCCGGGCAATGTTCCAAGAGACATGCGTACTGCGAGCCCTCTTCGTCCGCGGTGGCAAGCAACTGTCGGGGATGCTGGCCACGCGTTCCGGTAGTTCGGGCAATCCGCACCCTCGGCACACAGTATTCGTGAAGTTCGCGTGCCACACCTGGCAAGACGGGCAAGCGTCGCGTACTTGCCGCCATTGCGCACCATACACTTCGCAGAATACATCTTCCCATTCAACACGGTGGATGACGGCGCGCTGGGCCGCAACGTGGGCACGATCCCACTTGTAGGGGAGCTGCTGGGCGCCGCCCCACCACTCCGCACCACCGCCTCCTCCTCTGTCCTATGCGTTCCCTCTGTCGTCCTCGTCGTCATCATCATCAGCATCACCAACACCAACACCACCACCATCGTCAGCAGCAGCATCATCAGCATCAGCATCAGCATCAGCATCAGAATCAGCATCATCATTATCATCAGCAGCAGCATCTGCATCAGCATCGTCCTCATCCTCATCCTCATCCTCATCCTCATCACCAGAAGCATCATCAGAAGCAGCAGCACCACCACCAGCATCATAAACAACATCATCGTCGTCTCCATCATGATAAGCAGAAACATCACCACCACCACTGCCATCAGCAGCAGCATCCTCATCATCAACATCATCATCGTCATCATCCTCCTCCTCATCATCATCGTCATCGTCATCGTCATCGTCATCGCCGTCGTCACCATCATCAGCATCAGCAGCATCATCACCAGTTCCAACAACAACAACCACATCAGCAGCATCATCATCATCATCATCATCATCATCATCATCATCCCCATAATCGGAATGCTATCAGCATCATCACCATGACCATCATCACCATCATCACCCTCATCATCACCATCAGCATCACCATCATAAGCATCATCAGCATCATCATCACTATCAGCGACAGCATCCACATCATCATCATCATCATCATCATCATCATCATCATCAGCATCAGCATCAGCATCAGCATCATCATCATCATCAGCAGCATCAGCATCAGCATCAGCATCTCCATCATCATCAGCATCAATCATTAGCATCAGTATTAGTAACATCGTCAGAATCAACAGCATTATCATCATCAGCGGCATCATCATCAGCGTCATCAGCAACAGCAGCCGCAACAGCAACAGTCCCAGCAGCCGCATCAGCATATCATCAGCATCATCATCATCAGCATCATCAACAACATCATCAGCATCATCCTCATCCTCAGCCTCGTCCTCATCATCATCATTAGCATCATCATCATCACCATCATCTTCATCCGCATCACCGACAGCCGCCTCTTCTTCATCCTCCTCCTCCTCATCAGCATCACCACCATCATCATCGCGATCAGCATCGTCATAAGCATCAGCAACAACCGCCTCCTCCTCCTTATCCGCGTCCTCGTCCACGTCCTCATTCTCCGCCTCGTCCTCATCATCATCATAATCATCATCATCAGCATCATGACCCCCAGTAGCATCAACTGCAGCAGCATCAGCATCAGCCGCATCATTCATATATCTTTATCACCACCAACGTCACCATCATCAGCAGCGCCATCAGCATTATCACCGCCATCCGGGGCCTCAGCATCCTCATCATGATCAGCATCACCATCACAAGTACCGCCGTAATCAACATCATCAACATCAACAACAACATCGCCAATATCAGCCGTATCACCAGTAGCATCATGATGACCGTCATCGTTATCAGCATCGTCATAATCACCAGCATCATCGTAATCAACACCAACAACAGCAACGTGAATATCAGCATCAGCATCAGCAGCCTCAGCATCAGCAGCAGCAACAGTATTATCATCATACAACATATTCCATCATCATCGTCGTCACTATCATCATCAACAAGATCAGCATCACCATCAGCATCATCATCAGTGATATCATAATCAGCATCATCATCAGCATCATCATCGTGAGCGTCCGTGCATCCGTATCAGTAGTGTCGCCACAATCATCATCACCAACACCACCATCATCACAATACACAGCAACATCGTCATCATAACACGTCGGTATCGCACAACCCGTCACCATCGCAAGCACCGGCACCAATATCATTATTAGTGTCATCATCGCCATCATTATCATAATCATCATCACCGCAGTCATAGTCATCCGCATCCTCGACATCCTCATCATCGTCATCAGTACCATCATCATACTCATAATTACCATCACCCTTACCCTCACCCTCATCATCATCATCATCATCATCATCATCATCATCATCATCATCATCGTCATCATCAGCATCATTTAGATTGCAAGGGTATGGCCTAGTTGGATTGGGACCTAGCGAACTAATCCTTGGGTCTCGATTGCCATCGTCTCTTGCTCGCCGTTTGGCTCGTGAGCCGGCGGCGAATGCCCCCCCGCCCCTTCCTGCCTTTCGCCTCGCCCTCCCACCCGGGAGGTTTTTGGGTTGATAGCCTGACCAACTATCAGCCTGGGGGTGTCTAGTGTGCTTTTGTAGTTACATTGCGACTTCAAGAGCCCACTAGCCCTCCGTCGGACCAATGACATCGTCAGAAGGTCCTTGCCCAGGTCTAGCCGCCAGGCTATGCAGGGGCAGTCCGAGTCTAGCTGATCGCTATGCTCTGGACTGGACGGCGCCTTCCCAGCGTGCTCCGGCGAAGCCTTTCCGGAGCACGCTATTGCAGCTATGGCGGTCGACATCTGAGAGCAGCCTGCGCTGATGTTGCACGGGGCGACGTCCCCCAAAAAAATGACTGGCAGGAGGGGCAGCAAGGATCATCATCGTCGTCATCACCATCATCACCATCAACGACATCATCGTCGTCGACGCCAGCATCACCATCATCGCCATCATCATCGTCATCATCACAACAGCCATCATAACCATCACCATCATCACCATCATCATCACCATCGCCATCCAGCCCTCTAAGTCATGGTACTGCTTCTCCTGCTCCTCCTCCTCCTCATCATCCTCCTCCTTCTCATCCTCCTCCTCATCCTCATCCTCCATTCATGCAGCGGCAACGGCAGCGGCAGCGGCAGCGGTCGCGGCCACGGCAGCGGCGGCGTCAACAGCAAGTGCGGTCACAGCTGCAGAAGCAACATTCTACTCCTCCTCCTCCTCCTCCTCCTCCTCCTCCTCCTCCTCTTCCTCCTCCTCCGTCCTCCTCCTCCGTCCTCCTCATCCTCCTGTCCTCCTCTGTCATCCTTTGCACTCCTCCGCTATCGTCCTCATCCTCCTCATCCTAGAACGGGAAGAGTGGGGGGGGAAGCACAGGGGGAAAGGGGAAGGGGCAGAAGGACCGAAGGGCAAAAAGGGAGGAGGACCAGAAAAGGGGCAGAACGGAGACGGAGACCGAGGCCCAGGGCGTCGGAGGAGCGAGAAAGAGAGACGGAGACAGAGACAGAGAGAGAGAGAGAGACAGAGAAACAGAGGCAAAAAAAGAGGCGCAGACGGGAGAGAGGGGGGGGGCCAGAGGAGCGCAGCGGGGGGGGGACGAGGAGGAGAGGTGGCGGGGAGAGGCACGAGGGAGACGGGAACGCCGAGGGAACGCCGAGGGGGGGGGCGAGACGGCCTCTCGGCGCGCGCTCGGCCCGCCTCGCCCCGCCACGCGCCCCTCGGGGAGGCCGAGAGGTATACCGATGCGATGCCGCTGCTCCCCGGGCCTCCCCCCCGGGGGGTCGCGCGGACCCGGCTGTCCAGGCGCATCCAGTCGAGGGCCGACGAGGGCCTCCCCCTCTTCCTCCTCCTCCGCCTCCTCATCCTCCTCATCCTCTTCCTCCACATCCTCCTCCTCCGCCTCTCCTACTCCTCCTTCCTCCCTCCTCCCCATCCTCCTCCTCCCCCGCCTCCTCCCCCTCCTCCTCCGCCTCGCCAATGCGCCTCCCGGCTGCTGGTCGGCCGGTGTGGGCGCCACCACACGCTCTCAGGGGACGCCCTGAGATCAAGTACTGTTGGTCAGGCTCATCTCCTCCTCCTCCTCCTCCCCTCCTCCTCCGCATCCTCCTCCTCCCGTTCTCCTCTCCTCCTCCTCCTCACATCCTCCTCCTCCTCCTCCTCCTCTCCCCATCCTCCCCTCCTCCTCCTCCTCCTCCCCCTCCCCTCCCCCTCCTCCTCCCCTACCTCCTCCCCCTCCTCCTCCTCCTCATCTCCTCCTCCACTCCTCCTCCTCCTCCTCCTCCTCCTCCTCCCGTCTGCGGGCCTCCCAGGAGGGCGCGAGAGGGGGGGAGCATGGGCGAAGGGCAGCGGCACGTGCGCTCCCGCCGAGCCGCCCCCCCCCGCGGAGTGAGCTCCCGAGGCCCAGCCCTCCGCGCGCGGCTGGGCCTGCTGTCCGCGCGCCGCTCGTCGCGCCGCGGCCGCCGCCGCCTCCGCGCAGCCCCCCTCTCCGCAGCCCTCCAGGGCACAGCCGAGACTGCTTCAAGAGGACACGCGAGAGGACACGAGGCCTGGGCGGCGCGCACGCAAGAGGGCACGAGATCTGGGCGGCGCGCACGCGAAAGGGAAGATTCGGGGCGAATCAACTCTGTAGTCGACCCCCTGCTCGAACGACGACGACGACGGAGAACGACCGGCGGCGGACGGCCCGGACGGCTGGACACTGTGGCTGGACGGCTGGACGGCGGCAACGACGGCGCCGTGGTTTTACTATCACATCAGGACCCCCCCCGACGTCCCCTTCTTGGGGGTGCGAGCGGAGGGGGGGTCGGGGGAGGGGGGAAGGCTTCTTAGAAGGAGGCTGCTCCTTGGAGAAGGCGCTGGCCGTATGTCTACAAAAAAAAGCCCGCGCCTTCTAGGAAGCAGCCTCCTTCTGAGAAGCCTTTCCCCCCCCCCCTTGCCCCCCTCTGTGCGTGGCCGAAGACCCTTCCGATAGCCACATGGGCGACGAATGAAAACGGGTCTTACGAGAGATGACATAGCGGTGGCTTACCCAGGCCGCCGGCATGGCACGCCACATTGGAAACGAGAGCGCTTACGCGCGACATGACGCGGAAAGCTCATGCGCGATTGTCGGCGCAGTCGAACTCGTTTTTGCGCCGCTCACATTGCCATAGGACTGTAAAAGACAACACAAGGGCACCCTTGACCTGACAGTGTCGACCTACCAATCAGCTTCGACTGTAGTAGAGCGCGCCTGCGCCCTCGTCGGTCGCCGCGTCGCGCTTCGGGCAGTGCTCGGTCACGGCCGCGTCGTCTGGAGGTGCCGCTGCGACGCGCTGGGCACAAGCTCCTGCCACCGCATGCACCCGCAGCAGGTCATGCAGGGGCACATCGTGCGGTCAATCTTGTTGCGGTCGAACCAATGGTTGGGCTGGGTGCGCTGCACCACGCCGGAGAGCGACGAAGGCCACGACGGTTGGCATCCTCACGGCGAGAGCGTCGCGTCCGACCCGCGCGAGCCGCTTCCGTCTCTCGCCTCACCGCTCGGAGTGCCTCCGCCAGTGCTCCAGCCACGCCCCAGGCTCGTCCACCAGGGCGCACGCGGTGCCCGACAGCCCAGCGCGCGCCAACTGGTCCTCACAAGCGGCGAACGTATCCATATTCACGCCCTCGCGGTCTGGATTCTGAGGTGCGGTCCCGCGGGTACGCGGCCGCACGGAAAGGTTCCGCGCGGGCATCCGCGAAAAGGCGCCCCGTATCCGCGGGGTCGCCGCCCATGAGCCCAGCCCGCAAAGCCGTGGATAAGGCTACCTCCTCCTCCTCCTCCTCCTCCTCCTCCTCCTCCTCCTCCTCCTCCTTGTCCTCCTCCTCCTCCCCCTCCTCTCCTCCTCTCTCCTCCTCCTCTCTCTCCGCCTCCTTCCTCCTCACCTCCTCCTACTCTCCTCCTCCTCTTCCCTCCTCTCCTCATCACCTCATCCTCCTCCTCACCTCCTCCTTCCCTACTCATCCTCCTCCTCCTCCTCATCCTCAGTCCTCCTCCTCATCCTCATCCACCTTCCTCCGCCTCCTCTCCGCCTCCTCCTACGCCTCCGCCTCCTCCTCCTCCTCCTCCGCCTCCTCCTCCTCCTCTTCCACCCTCTTCCCTCCTTCCTTCCTTCTAGATTGGTTTCGCGCCCGAGGTCCGCATCGGCCAGCGGCCCCGCCGCGGCGAAGAGCAGCCGCTGCTCCAGGTGCAGCGCGTCCGCCAGGCCCCCCGGCGGCGGCGGCAGGCAGAGCAGGCTCCAGCCGCGCAGCTCCTGGGAGACCAGTTCCTGCAGCGCCTCGACCTCCTCTGGCGCGAGCGCAGGCCAGACCAGACACCAAGAAACAATGTTTGCCACTGCTGGGCTCGTGTAGATGGAGAGTCGCGCTTTTGGTGTAGCAACCGGCGGGCGCCAGGTACTGATAAGCCTGGAGCCCTGGTTACTCCAAATTTCGTAATGACAGGGAGGGGGTCGCTGCCCTCCCAGACCAGCAGTTTTACACCCCCCCAGAGCCATGACAGCACGGCCTTTGGCACAGACCCCACTGGAACCCTCCAAGACAGCTCAAATCAGACCCCCCACAAATCGGACCACCACCCTTCTTGTGTGAAGTACGGAGTAATTCCACTTGCTGCTTGAAACCACGACGCGCGCTCACGGCGGGGGAACCCCGCGCCGAGACGCACGCGCCCTCCTGCATAGGCCAAGCGGGCGCGTGGCGCGGATCCTGGGTGCAGGGCAGGCCTGGCCGGGATCGGTGCCGGTGTAAAGATGAGCGCTGAAAATACACGCAGCGCGACATTACTCTGCGGCTCTTGCGGGCAGCCAGCGTGGCACACCGCGTGGAGAAGAGGGCGCCTACGCGCGACCTCACGCGGGAAGCTTACGCGCGAGTGTCCGCGCAGTCGACCCCGTCTCCTTGTGTCGCTCAGCTTCGGAGCAGGGCGACCCTCTGGCAGTCGTTCGGGACGATCCAGGCACCCCAGGAGCGCTGTCGGCGAGGCGCACCGCTGGAAAGCATCCCGTCCCGGGCTGGAGAAGGGACGAGAACTGACGAAGCCGCCCGACAAGCTCGGGGATCCAAGCCTGCTGCCACCCCTCTCCCCGCCCAGGGGTGGCCGGAAACCGCCGAGAATCCGCGCAGACGCCCGCAGACCTCGAACCCTCGGCGCCCCCCCCCCCCCAGGAGTTCGTGGGCCCGTGTTCCACCACCGCCACCACCAGAAGTAGGAGGGAGAGGGGATCATCCTCCCCCTCCTCCTCCTCCCCCTCCTCCACCCCCCTCCCCCTCCAGCTGCTGGTGGTGGAAAACGAGCCCATCAGGGGTCCTCGCGCCCGCCCACCAGGTTCAGCGCGATCACCGCCCCCGGCGCCGCGGCGCGCGCCGCGGCCCTCCAGAAGCCGCGCGTCCGGAACGGCGGGGGCGGCGCGTGCAGCCCGCCGAGGCCCTCCGCCGCCGCGTCCACGACGAGCACGTCGACGCTGCCGCCCGCCGCCGCGCGCAGGCGCGCGGCGCCGCAGCCGCCGGCGAGGCGGAAGGCACCATCCGGTCGCGCCTCTGGGGCAACGAGGGTCCTTCTTGCTCTGCAAAGCGCTGGGGGCGTTTGTATCCGTCGTTGTCCACTGTTCGCTCGGGGGTCGGCCAAGGCGCTCTAAGAACGGCACCCTGGACTGCGGACGTCAGGCAGGGCGGCATTGCGGTACTCGAAAACGTAATGAATACCGATTGGAAGCTGAAAGAGAACGAACAGGTGGGACACGGGCCGATCCAGGACCTGAGAACGTAACCAAAACGGCGCCCTCAACGGAAAGAACACGTCGGTAATGAAATTCACGTGCATGAAAATGTATGTGTGTGGATGCGAAACATTACACGCCATCGCTGGCTGCGCCAGCCTGACACAAGCACGCGCGAGAGACGGCCGCGCCATAGCCACACGCTAACCGCACATTTTAAAAAGCCAGCCGCAAGAAAAAAAAAGCCACGCGCAAAGATGTGCGAGAGCACGGGTGGGGTCAGCTGGATTTCGGCTTTGTTTCTGTTCGAATTACACTTGGGGGGGTCATGTTTCGCCTGGGCCTCCTCACGAACAAACAAACAAACAAACAAACATTAGTAAACAGTCATCACAAAACACAGCAGAAGAACAACAAACACGACGACAACAACAACAACAACAACAACAACAACAACAACAACAACAACAACAACAATTACTAGCACGTGGGGACACTCCGTTCTCACCCGTGCCAGGGTTTTCATAGGAGGCGGGCAATACCCCCACTTTGTGGGGGGGCCGGTTCAAGCTCTACCAAATTTCCAAACGACTCTTCGCCACCACCCACACCCAGCTTCCCGCCCTATGACGTTCGGACACTTCACTTCGTGGCATGCGGACGACCGTGGCTACTATTCAGGGCCCCGCGGACGACGACGACGGCGTGCGCGCGCGAAGAAAAAACGAATGTGTCCCGCATGGTATTATTTGACAGGGATGATGGCCCTGGCAGGTGCGCAACCGTTGTCGCAGAAGTTCGAAAAAAGTTGCTCGCAAAAGCCCGTTTGACAGAAATGTTTAAAAAGTGTTGGGTTTCCTACGAATGCGCAAGAGCGCGCGGGATGAAATTTTGACATTTTTTTTTGAAAAACCATTGGTTTGTTGATGTTTTTATGTTAAAATCGCTACGAAAACTAAGGTTTTGGAAGGATTTCGTCTTGCGCGCGCGAATGTCCACTTTACCTTATTTTTTGAAAGGGATTCTTGAAGTTTGGATATGTTAGAACAAGAAATGTCCACTTTAACTTATTTTTTGCAAGGGAAAACCGATCGTAACAACCAAACCGGATTCGGACTCCCCGTGCCTGAGACTTCCTCACGAAAATGATGAATATGAGGCTGCGGCCTAGGCGCGGCGGGGGGGTCGTGCACCAGGGGCCCCAACAATAATTATTCTTTAGAAGTAATAATGTTCAACAACACAACAACAACAACAACAACAACAACAACAACAACAACAACAACAATCACTTTACCCGAACGCTCAGTGTTCTCACCAGTGCCAGGGTTTTCATGCGACGCCAGCCAATACCCCCACTTGTGGGGGGGCAGTGCAAGCTCTACCAAATATCCACACGACTCTTCGCCACCACCCACACCCAGCTTCCCGCCCTATGGACGTTCGGACACTTCACTTCGTGGCCTGCGGACGACCGTGGCTACTACACTGGCGTGGAGTACACACCCACAGAAGTTGTTAAGCCTACGTTCGTACACCCACAGAAGTTGTTAAGCCTTGTTAACCCACAGAAGTTGTTAAGCCTTCCACAGAACATCTGTTGCATATGATGCGTATGGTACATGATACACATTTGCGCGGTGCTAAAATTCTTAAGAAGCCCAATGGTTTTTGGAGATTTCGGCGTGCGCGCGCGAAGAAAAAACGAATGTGTCCCGCATGGTATTATTTGACAGGGATGATGGCCCTGGCAGGTGCGCAACCGTTGTCGCAGAAGTTCGAAAAAGTTGCTCGCAAAAGCCCGTTTGACAGAAATGTTTAAAAAGTGTTGGGTTTCCTACGAATCCGCAAGAGCGCGCGGGATGAGATTTTGACATTTTTTTGTTGAAAAACCATTGGTTTTTTGATGTTTTTATGTTAAAATCGCTCCGAACACTAAGCTTTTGGAAGGATTTCGTCTTGCGCGCGCGAATGTCCACTTTACCTTATTTTTTGCAAGGGATTCTTGAAATTTGATTATATTAGAACAAGAAATGTCATTTTATAGTGTTTTTTGCAAGGGAAAACGGATTACAACAAAACAACCGGATCTGGACCCCATCCACTTTTCTGAAGCTTTCGCGAAAAAATGATGAAAATGTAGCTGCGGCCTAGGCGCGGCGGGGGGGCCGTGCACCAGGGGTCCCAACAATAATTATTCTTTAGAATTAATAATGTTCAACAACAACAACAACAACAACAGGGACAGGGACAAGGACGGGTTCCTCCAGAGCTCTCCTCCAGGGGGGGCAGGAATCGTCCCCGGGCCCCAGGGCCCCCAACCCCCCCTCCAACAACAACAACAACAACAACAACAACAACAACAACAACAACAACCATTTTAAGGCTGTACGCTCTTACTTGCCCGCGAGTCATTCAACACGTATACCCTACACCCTCGAAACCCGCCCCCTTCGTCTTCGATCACACCCCTTTCGGGGGGATTATTTCTCTTTGCTGGGGCCGGCGGGCTTAGACGCACGGGCAAACCGGAACGGGCGGACAATCCTTCGGGGGCGTACATCTGTCTGCCCGCCATTGGAATTGGCGCGGGCCCTGCAAGAGGAGGAGGGGAAGAACGAGGGAGAGTGGGAGGAAGGGGAGGGGGAAGGACGAAGGAAGAGGGAAGATACCACGTTGTGAAGGCGTCCTTGGCGCGCGCGTGGTTCCTGAGCGCTGAAACGCAATTCCAGAATAATTTGTGAGGACGTCGCACGCGAGAGCGCAGTCCTGAGTACATTGTGAGGAAATCTCGGGCGGGAGCGGGGGCCCTGACTAAGTTGCGAGGCAGTCTCAAGCGGGAGCGCCGTTCCTGAGCAAATTGCACGGAAGTCTCAGGCGGGAGCGGGGGTCCTCACTAAATTGCGAGGAAGTCTCAGGCGGGAGCGCCGTTCCTGAGTCAATTGCGCGGAAATGTCAGGCAGGAGCGGGGGTCCTGAGTAAAATTCGAAGAAGTCTCAGGCGGGAGCGCCGTTCCCACGTAAATTGCACGGAAGTCTCAGGCGGGAGCGGGGGTATTGATTACATTGCGAGGACATTGCGAGGAAGTCTCAAATGGGAGCGCCTTTCCTGAATAAATTGCGCGGAAGTCTCAGGCGGGAGCGGGGGTCCTGAGTAAAAATCGAGGAAGTCTCCGGCGGGAGCCGTTGTTGTTGTAGCCCGGGGGGCAAGGGCACAGTTTGAGCAGGAAGACTTTCCTTGAGAAAAAACCAGGTGCGAGCCCCGGGGGTGGCACTTCAATCGAAAAAAATTAATGTGCACCGGTGGGGGGGGATCAACAATAATTATTCTTCAAGAATGAGAGTTCAACAACAACAACAACAACAACAACAACAACAGCAACAGCAACAGCAACAGCAACAGCAACAGCAACAGCAACAGCAACAGCAACAGCAACAGCAACAGCAACAACAACAACAACAACAACAACAACAGCGCTAGGAATGAATAAAACAAAAAAACTGAGGAGTCCCTCAGGACTCCGGTGCTGCATCGGAGTGGTGACTTACGTGTGCGCACTAGAGAAGCGAGGGATTCTATAGAAACCGTACAGGGATCCTATAGAATCCCTACAGGCATTCTGTAGAAACCCTACAAGGATCCTAAAAAACGACAGGGATCCTATAAAAAGACCCTACAGGGTTCCACTAGAAACAATACAGGGGTCCGATTATATATGTATACTTTTCCACATACATGAACAAAAAACTACAAGGATCCTATAACAAACTACAGGAATACTACAAAAACCCAATTACAGAAACCCGATAAGGATCCTACATAAACCCTATACGGATCCTGTAGAACCTCTATAAGGATCCTACAGAAACCGTGTCAGGACCTCAAGAAAGCCGATAGGGATCCTACACAAAGCCTATAGGATCCTCCTCCTCAATCTTACCAGCTGTCCGAGGACCCCTGTAGGGATCCTACCAGCTGCAGTAAGATCCTTATGGGATCCTACCAGCTGCAACGAGATCCCTACAAGGATCCTACCAGCTGTCATGGGATCCTAATCGGGACCCTACCAGCTGTAATCGGACTCCAGATAGGGATCACACCAGCTGCAATAGGATTCCGATAAGAAACCTACCAGCTGTAATAAGACCCCAGGTAGAGATCCCACCAGCTGCAATAGGAACCCTACAGGGATCCTACCAGCTGTCATCGAATCCCTATACGGTTCATACCAGCTGCAACGGGATCCCTATAGAGATCCGACCAGCTGCCATAAGATCCCTACAGGGACCCGACCTGCTGTAATAGGATCCCTGTAGGAATCCGACCAGCTGCAATAAGATCCCTACAGGGATCCTACCAGCTGCAATAGGGTCCCCATAGGGACCCTACCAGCTGCAATAGGGTCCCTATAGGGACCCGACCAGCAGCTGCAATAGGATCCCTATAGGGATCCGACCAGCTGCTATAGGATTCCTAAAAGAATCCTGCCAGCTGTAATCCGATCGCAATAAGAATCCTACCAGCTGCAATAAGATTCCGATAAGGATCCTACCAGCTGCGATCGGATCCCTACAGGGATCTGCGATCGGATCCCTACAAGGATCCTACCAGCTGCAATAGGATCCCTACAGGGATCCGACCAGCTGTAATAGGAGCCCTAGATGGGTCCTATTACAGCTGCACTAGGATCCATTTAGTAATCCTACTAGCTGTAATAGGATCGCTATAAGGATCCTACCAATTATAACGGAACCCCTGAAGGGATCCTACCAGCTGTAATCGGATCCCTACAGGGATCCGACCAGCTGTAACAGGATCC